GGATCGGCTTGGACACTTGCATTCACACACAGCCTGAGGTAATCACATTAAAAATCATGAGTAATGTGAGGGAGCTAAAGAAAGCCTTGTTCTGTTGCTTGGTTCAGAAATAACAGTTAAACGTCCAGATACATAATTAGCAGAAAAATCTCTTAAGGGTAATTTCTTTACATTTCATTCTACATAACATCCTCACACCGTTTCAGGGTTAATGTGCAAAGCACAACTTGTCTCACCAGGATCTCATTAGGTTTAATGAAAGAGAAGAAACTCACAGCAGGCTGCAGTGTGACATTTAACTGGCAGAACATTGGATACAACTAGGTCCATCTTCCAGGAATTAATCAATTGCCATTCACTTCACACGTTTCAGATTTTGCTATAAACTTTTTTAACGTGTCACTGTCCAAACTTTTGTTCCTTTTCATTCTCCTAAAAGGTCTTTATCTATTGCTATAGGGGAAAAAAGTGAATAGAATAGAAACAGAAAAGAAAGAAAGACCCAACTGTGATAGAATCATTGTGTAAAATTTGAGACATTTGTCTTCGTGTCTTTTTGATCAGTACATTTCCAGAAACACTTGGACTGAAATGCCTTCTGGCCTCTTTGACACATCTGAGCAGCCAATCACAAAGGTCGACTTTCAAAACGTTAGGTTTGCTTTGCTCAAGGATTTTAGCCACAAAGCAAGTCTAAATTGCTTAGCATATGTTCCCTGTAAGTCCACAACCGGTAGGCTTCACTATTTTTCAGAACTGAATAAACAAAACTTCTCGAGTTAAAAAGTCCCTACAGCCTCACTTAGGAGGCATTGATAGGGTTAAATTGCACAAGCAATAATGAAAGAAAGAAAGAAAGAAAGAAAGAAAGAAAGAAAGAAAGAAAGAAAGAAAGGAAGAAAGAAAGAAAGAAAGAAAGAAAGAAAGAAAATAAGCTACTTACCTTATACTACTTTTCTTATGCTTTTCTTATACAGGTATAGATTCATGAAAAAATAAATAAATAAATGTATGCTTTTGCCACATTCTGAAATGTTGTGATTAGAGACTGTAATTGAAACATTAACAATTTGAAGTAAAAAAAAATCATTTTTACCATTCCAGTATTGATAATTTTATGATTACAGTTTCTGCACCTGGAACCAACATGCAGGACGTTGGAGGCAGGATGAAAGAATAACAGCATTTTAATAAAAATATAGAGAAAAGTACAAAAATATGAGCAAACAGGAGAATCCACAAGGAAGCAAATGCAAATGAGGAACTTATGTACTTGATTACAGGTGGCTGATGAACTGCTGAGAATGGAGACCAGGCAGGCAGACTGAGGGAGAGAGAGCAATGACGCAAGAGGAGCAGAGAAGGCATAAACACTAAAAAAGCACTAATCTAACAGGAAGAATAGCTAAGCAAAGTACAACTAATAAACAAACAAGAATAAACCAAGCAGAAAACGCCAGGCTGAACTAATGAGATCAAGACTGAGCATCAATAAAGATACAAACACAAAAAAAACCCTCCACCCCCTGGATATGACAGATATACTCCATAATATTAAAAACTTATGTCAAAAACTTATACAGACTGGTCTCCTTAACCATTCAGTATGTGTCCAAGCTGGGTTAATTTTCACCCTGCTCCCGTTGTTTCCACTCCCTGCAACACCTTCTGCACAGTCACTGTGTAGTAAGAGCTGATAAGAGTCAGATAAGAGGGAATCATTTCCCGTTTCTTTAGGGGAAACCTTAATGGCTCCGTTTGGTTGGTTTTGTCCTGCCGCAATTGAGTATTGGGGCAAAAATGTCCATACAATGTAATTTTCCTCTGTAATGACATTACTTTGCTTTCTTCTTTGTTCCTATCATAATTACTGTGCCCGTACACTGTCCTGAAAGCCTTTTATGAAAAACGACTGTTTGAAGTATAACTGCAGTGGAAATATAATAATCCCTTAGATTTACCTGCATATTGGACCAGGCATCCCAAAGTATTTATGCCCCTTGAACTTTTCTGCATTTTGTCAAATTACAAACACACACTTGAATGGATTTTATTGGGATTTTATGTAATAGTCCAACTCAAGGTAGTGTGTTCAAATGAAGTGGAGGGAAAAAGAAAAGTTGTATTTTTAATTACAATAAAATCTCAAAAGAGGTATACGTTTGTAGATAATATGCAACAACCTATTGCCTTCAGAAGAAGCATATTTATCTCTTTAAATAGTCTCCATTTCATAGTAATCTTAACACAATTTTAAACAAAATGCATTTTCTCAACCTCAGAAGTTTGTTAGAGAATTTTATTGAACAAACTGCATTATGAATACCAAACAGCACAGGAGACAGGTATTAGATAATGTTTTTGTAGAGTTTCAAAGCTCAGTCAGAGTACAAAAATATAACCCAAAATTTGAATATCTCATGGAGCAACCATGGAGCATTGTCCTGTCTGTCATCCAAAAGTAGAAAAAGTGTGGGACAATTTCAAACCTACATAGACACGGCCGTCCATCTAAACCGACAGGGAGGGCAAGCAGAGTCTTCATCAGAAGAGCAGGCATTGGTAGCTCTGGGGGAGCTGCAGAGATCCTCACCTCAAGTGGAAGGATCAATTGCATGCCTTGTCCTTTAAATACCAGAAGATTTTAAGTAAAACCTGGCATCCTCTGACATAAACCTGACTACATCAGCTGTCAATATTAGGTCATTTAGCAAGACAATGATTCAAAATATAAAACTAAATTAAAAAGAAAATGACCCAACATCAACTCTTCTTTAATGGACATTGCAAACCCTCACACTATAGAAACTTTTAGGTTGAGCTCAATACAAAGGGATGTGAGAGAAAAAAAAACGACCATGACTCTGGATACCCTTCAGACACACAAAGAGTGAGTAATGTGGCAATTTCTTCTTCAATCAATAAATGTGCTTAAACATAGATTAGATTAAAAAATAAATAAAATAGTTTTACAGGAATGACCATATGTTTATTTTAAACATATACTGTTGTGTTGTTATCAGTTGTATTAATTGCTAATCAAATGAATAAAATATAATAATGTCAAAACTAACCTGGAAATTCCTTCCCCTGACTGCTGGCTGATTGAAATTTATTTTACCAGTAAGGCAGCTGAGCAGGTGATTAATAAAAAAATAAAAATAAAAACTAAGGGCCCATGTATATGTACATATAAATTACATGTGTGCCAGAACCAGGGACACCTCCTTGTTTTTTCTGACCAAATCCCAGTGTTTTTGACGAGGCTACGTTGACCTTTCATGCTCGCCTGCTGTCCTCGTAGGCAGACAGACACATTCATTAGGCACGGCTCCATCAGCCGCAGATCTCTGGCCGACGCTCCTGCTCATTAAAGCAGAAAGCTGCTTTCACGAAGGAGCCGTAAGCAGAGACTGAACAAAGACAGAGGTTGGTCGGAAGGATGTGGGGTCGGGAAGATCAAGACAGCTGAGATAGCATCTGGAGCTGTTTGCACATTGAATTGAACATCGCTATTAAAACTGGGTGATAAAAACCAGCAGGGACAGGGATGGACATGAGGAAACTCTTTCTCTAAAATAAAAACCTCGTACTGTTTCATAGCCCTGGCTGCTGTTTGTTTTTTGTTGTTCCCTCTTTTTATGAAGTCGCAGATTTGATGTCCTCTCTCTGTATTGACAGTAATTTCCCTTGTTATGGTTGCATTCTTTTCAACAAAGTCATTAGATCTTTTACATTGAGTAGATCTTGAGAAAAAGCTTTATGATGGACTGCTGATTTAAAATTACTGAGGAAGATGATGTGATTTGTTTTGGTCCTATAAATGATTTATGTGAATTTGTGCAACATAGAATGCCACAGATCCATTAATCGCCTTCTTCTTTGATCTTCCTCGCACACACTTCACTTTGATTCAGGTTGAGCTGAATCAAATTTATTGGTATTACAATCCAAAACAATTTCATTGAGGCAGAGAATAACAATATAACATCTTTCCATCAGCCTGTTTCTTGTCCTTTCTCTCATTTTTTTCAAATTTGATGTTAGGTTTAACTGGGTTTAGGTTGAGTCTTGTGGTGTATTGGCATGGATGCTGCACAAACAACTCCGTCGGAAAACCAGTTATATAAATATTTCTCCTATTTTGTGTCTAAGAAAATGTAATTACCCTGGTTGTCTCAGATGAGAAATGAATGATATCAATCATAAGTGAGAGTATTGCATTATCTACTCCATGTGGCCTTTCCAGATTTATGATGGCTTAGCATTTTTTTTCATCCTAGCTCATCTTTGTTTCAGCGCTCCAAAGCTTTTTTTTTTTTTTTATGTGATAAAGATAAAATATTTAAAGACGAGAGATGAATAGTTCTCATAATGCAAATGGAAAACCATTTTGCTCCATTTAAAATTACATCTGCTACAATATGGAGGAAAATTATACACTTAAACTGATACTAGATTAAAAAATTAATCTACAGGAATGACCACTAAACCCTGTTTTTTTTGTTGTTGTTGTTTATATTTAAGAAGGTGTGGAAATTTAAAACAAGTAAATTCAAAAAATACAATAGATAACAAATAGTATTTAATTTACGTGATAAAAAAGCTAAATAAATTCATCTCCCTTACTCTTTTTTACTAGCTATATCTGGAAATGATGTTCGCTGTGCATAACACCACGAACATCAATGTTCAAAGCAATACAACATAAAAGTTGTATTGCTTTCTAACATTGCTTTATGGACTCAGTTAGACTTCATAGTTTACTTCTCCTTAAAAATTAATGAAAAACTGTCATTTTGTAGTTCCTTGGAAGATGTGAGCAGCATCCAGCGGTGTAAACGCGTGGAGGCCTACCATTCGCTCACAGAATTTAAGCTGCTTCGTTGCTTGGCAACAGGACCCCACGGCATCTTGGGAATTGTAGTCAATACAGGGTTTGGACCGTTTCACCAGTCCCAGAAAGCGGGAAAGATAAAACTACATATCCCAGAGTTCTACTTAGAGACAAATCCCACCTCTAGTTGAACACGTGACTGTGTGCTGGCGTGAGCTACAATAACACTGTTTGTTGTGCTCTGTGATTGCAGTTTTAGCCTCTTTGTTGTTCTTTTTGGCGTGTAGCTGCTCTTAAAGATGAGGCTGCAATGTTTGGTGACGGCGCTTTGTCTCAGTGTGGGTGTCATGGCTGGGAAATACTCTCGGCAGGTGAACGAGCCCACGCAGAGTGATGGCGATGGGCAGACAGCGGAGTTCAGGATAGCTAAACTCAACCAGGTGTGGGAGAAAGCCAAACGGGTACGTACCTCAAGACAGAATAAGTTGCTATCTGCAGTCCTGATAAAGCAACACATTTCTGTGTTCTCGTGGAAATGAATAAATATTGAAAGAGCTTAAACCTGACGTATTATTTTTGCCCGTAGATCTCACAGCTGAGAGTACAGCGGTCTCAAGAATCACAAACTGTTTAATAATGAATGAATAGTGAAAAGGCTTCAAAGCTAATTTTAGCGTTGTGACAAAGGGGGAATCAGAATGACATGCTCAGCCAAATTAGCACACGCCTTAGTTTGACATTGACATAGTGTTAAATGGTTAAGGAGCATCCACAGAGGAGTTGTTCAGTGGTGCCCTGGTGGTGTTATTAAAGTTGACTGTCATCTGTTTTACATCGTTCACAGTCAACTGACAGCGCTAGGCTGATCTGTCAATCTTACGGATGAGATCCGCCGTAGTGTCTCCTCATTAGCGACCCTGATGATGAGCATCATCAGGTTTAAGCAGTGTATGGCCATGATTAGCAGTAGACTGAGTACACAACCATGAGGCGCTCCAGTTCTCATTGTGGTGGTGGTGGTGGTGCTGGAGACGCAGCCGGGGCTGACGTCTTCCGGTGGGAAAGTACGGCATCCTGTTAGGGAGGGGAGAGGAGATTGTTCAGCTTTCCAACCTGTTGTTCATATTCTCAAAGCGGTGGTGAAACAGATGCAGAAGTGGGATGATGGCGTAGTTTGTTCACAAGGTGTATTTAGAAGAAAGGACAATAAAACCAAACTGTATATGTCATACACTTTGGGTTTTTTATTGCTTCTTTCACAGTTTCTTTCTGGACTGATGGAACATTAAAAGTAGTAACTGAGCAGACACACTTCTCCTCTTCCTTTCAGAGTAATCCGTCATTTTCTGCTCCTTTTGTGTTGACAGATGCAGCTGACAGCAGTGCGACAGGCCGAGCTGCACAGCGACCTAAAGATTCAGGAAAAAGATGAGCTGCAGTGGAAAAAAATGAAGGTGGAAGGCTTGGATGAGAACGGGGAGAAAGAAGCCCAGCTCAGGCGCAACTTTAACGGTGAGAACAGCCTAAACGGAGAAAATAAGTCTGTTCTTTTTTTTCATTTATTTTGTTTTCAAGAAATTCAAATGTATATTCATAGTTCAACACCACTGACAGTATTTAAAACCGATAAAAAATATGGATAGTTCACGCCGACATAATCCTGTGCAGGGGAGTTGAGCGTGGGGCAGATTTAAATTTACCAAGAAATGCTTAATCAAGTTAGGACAGAAACAGGAGCTGATGTACAAGCGCATGAAAGGATGTTCTCCTGCTAAACTGCAGGTGATGAAGCAGCCGCCCACACAAGTATCTGATGCTTTCTGCCACGAGCAGCAGGTGGACGCCCTCTTCCCTGTAGCACCTCTGGCAGCAGCTCAGAAACAAGACGCCATACCCTCTCCAGTGATCCCATTTAACTCGACTTTCACACGCAACAAATCGCTGAAACACTCTTGCTATAAATGGTGATTTTCAGAGCATTAGATACCAAAAAACATGCAAAATTTAGAGATTAATTTTAGTGCAGCATGCAGTTCTTGATCATCAGCATGAGGAGATACAGGTTTCATGACTACAACAAAAAAATGTAAATAATTTATCCAAATATTTCATCTGTCAACACACTGTTTTTCTGTTTTTTTTTCTTTCAATTTATTATCAAAACACAATTATCCAATGAACAGATCATCAGATTAGGAAATAATTTGTTTTTTTTAGTTACTCCAATTAGTCTCAAGTCCTTTGAAATTGCTCTGTGACCCTTTCCAGATTCAAAGGTCTGTGAATTTGTTAATTATATTTTTTTACAAAGAGCAATGTTGGGTTGCTTAGGTTTTTTCCCCTTTTACAAATAAAATAATAATTTGAAAACAATTTTTTTTATTTATATATATTTACCAAAGCTTTCTTTGGCTGACACAAAAATGAATTTGAGGATGTAAAATATTTAGGTGCGAAAAACGAGACAGACCCTCTTAAATACTGATCTACAAAAATGATCACACATTTAACAGTTAATTGTTACTTCAAATAAGGGATAAAGAAAATTCTCAAAATTATTTACTAAGAGTAACAACATGCATGGATATTATTTATCCAGCCAACTTATAGCAATTGCAGGAGCTGTAGAATCATCTCTTATGTGAGCAGGCTGCACACATTTCTCTTTACTGGCTTTTTCTTTTTTCTTTTTTTTTTTTGTAAGGAATTTGGCCAGTGTTGAGAAGGAAACCTGAAGAAGGTTAATCAGTGACTGAATCAGGGTTTGAATTCCAGTCAGTCGACAAGCATTGTTGGTCCAAACCCTGTTTAGAATCACTGCTATTTGTTCCAAAGGTGATTTTGAATCCCATCCTGCTTGGCTTTCTTGATCTTACGTAAACCAAAAAGAAAAAAAAAAAACAATAACAAAACAAAAGGGACGTGCTGTGAAATGTTAAGACTGGGTAAAACAGATTTTGTCAGCCTGTGCAATATACTCTTATATTTATTGTGTAAGCACTTTAATTTGTCCACATTTTACACAACTATTGTAGATCAAAATGTCTAAAGATTGAAGATCGAAGCTCCTCGTTACTCTCAGTGGTGGAGAGCTCCAGCCACCAACTCTCTCTCCTTTTGCTGGCCAACATTTATGTTTTTTTAACAAAGAGCTCCTGCAAACATTCATCTAAGCCATGACTTCTTTAGCTCTTTTTTTATTCATTTAAACATATTTATTTGTCTTATTATGCAGCACCTCTTGTAAAACTCACTGGAAGAATAAAATCTTGTTTACTGTTTGGACTCGTCGATTGAGTCAAAAACAGCATCTCAAAGAAGTGCAGAAGTACAGAAGTCCATCGGCTCCATATAATATTATACTACTACTTCTGTTCTGTTTATTGAAAAGATAAAACAACCCTGAGTCCCAGCTTGATGCATTACAGGTTAATATGTCACAATGACGGCTTATAAGAGTGCTAAGATGTTGCTGAATAAGCTGCTGAAACCCATTTTACTGGAATAGAAAAGTGAGCGTACACTTTCTGAGGGACTAAAGTTCAACTTTATAGACTGCAGGAGTATAAAATAGGTGGCAATTCAGAGCAGAAGAAAACATAATGTTCCATGATTAGATTTTTTATGGATTATTAGTTTGTAAGTAAGGTTTTGCTCGTGAATATTCAAGTAAATGGGTTTTTTTCTCTCTATAATGTTGAATTTTAAGTTTCTTTTAATGTTCCATGAAACATAAGCATTTTTTTAAACGCCCACTTCAAGGTGTTGTCAGTATAATGACAAAAGTTTATGATGCTTAACCCTTCATTACAGATTCTTCTTTGCTGTTATTTTAAAAATGTTCGCCGTCTTTGTTTGGATTGAATGCCTTTATGTCAAAAGGTTAACTAATGGACATGCAAATCAGATTCACTTTATGCTGTCATTCCCCAACAACAAACTCTGCTGCTGCCGCCATTTTTGCAAGGCAAACGGTGTGGTTGTGGACCACAGATTATAATTATACCATCCTGCTTTTGTTATGCAGTGATCCTGGCCAAGTATGGCATGGATGGGAAACGGGACATGAGGCCGATGGAGACCAACTCCCTGAAAGACCACGAGGCCAAAGACGGCGATGTGTTCGACGATCCCAAACTGGACAAACTCTGGAACAAGGTTTGTGCTCGGATGCAAAGGAGAGAGGAAAGACGACGCAGAAAAAACTCTTCTCGGTAACTTTTGAAGCGCGCTCCTCTCTGTTCTCTTCTACCAACAGGCCAAGAGCTCTGGGAAGTTCTCTAACGAAGAGCTGCAGAGCTTGAAGAGGGAATTCCAGCATCACAAAGACAAGATCCACGAGTACAACATCCTGATGGACACAGTCAGCAGGACCGAGGGTGAGCTAAACGTTTCTACTGAAACAAGCTGCAGTCCGTTCTGCTCTGATTGGCACTTCGTCTGTGCTCACCAGTTTGAGGCTGTCATGGCATGACAACCTTGATTATTTACACACAAATTAAAAATTTTGAAAATATGTTAATACAATGATAGTAGTATCATAAAATGTATTTATTTTGATTTGCAGACTTCAGCAAAAACTAGTTTTTAATGTATGCTTTGCATAGGACATTGTGCTTTTTTTGCTCTTTACAGAGCAAAAGGAAGAAAAGTTTATATTATCTGGATAATAAGTTGGGCTGTTTGCTTTTTTTTTCAGCCATAACAGGCTACATGGCAGACATGCTGTCAATAGATTATCCCTTGTAACTGTAAAATGTCAAGCTAACAACACTTTCCAAACCAGCTCTTTGTGTCTTTTTTTTTAAATCAGTATTATTTTCAATTAACAGATTTTTTTATTGTGTAAGTAAATGATTAGTGCAGTAGCCTTTGTTCAGCCAGCTGATCAGAACCATGTTAACCCATGCAACCTATTTGACAGTGAATGTTAGTTGCTGTAAACTCAAATTGATTTGGACCCTGGTGTGGCTGCGTAGCGCTGATTTTATGGACCTTTGGAGTTCTAAGCCTCTCGTTGAGCTCTGCGATCCGGTGGCAGGTATCAGGCAGGACAGGTTCCCGTCCGCCGCTCTTTACTCTGTCACTGCTCATCATGTCAAACTGAGGGATTTAAGGAGAGCTGGCAGTCGCCCACAGTGTTTCATCTGGATGGGCGCAGTATCTCTTTTGGGCTGGACTGACACTTTGCTGCTGTTTCCTTTTTTTTTTTTTTTTTAAATCTCCACAGCATCTATGTCGCTGCAAGTCAAGCCGGAATTTTTTTTTTTTTTTTCTGCTTGTCTGATACATTTAAATATTGAGCCAATCACATGTTGCCTGCAGGGCCTGAGGCTCTGTCTCACCACTTTGTCTGCTCACCGCCTGTCTGTTCCTTGATTTTCATTTTGTTTGCCCTTTTTTTCTCTTTTTGATCCAAATGTCAGCTGGTATTATTATTATTATGGCCTTTGTTTGAGTTTTTCCTCCTTGAAGATGAGACGGACGGGGAATCTCATAACCTGACGGCGATAGTCAGTAAGTCCAGACTTATAGGTGACTCACGACTCTTACAGAGGAATTGATTTTAATATCACAAGATCAGACCAATTGTCTTTCAAGGCTATTTCAGAGCTTCTGCAAAAACTCCCATCAAACGCTCGTTTGCTTTAATTTCCATCCCTCTGTTGTTTCTTTCTCTTCTTGGCCTCGCTCCCAAACACCTCCTCTCCCCCACTTGTCTCCTGCCCTCTCTTTAGAAATTCACAAAAACGTAATCTCCCCCATGGAGGGCGACACCAAAGAGCACCTGCTGCAGCAGAAGCACACGGAGCTGAAGGAGAAAATGAGAGACCTCAACCACGGCTTCGAGCGCCTCCGCAAAATCAGCCACGAGGGTTTCTCTCAAGACAGCGGTGAGGAGGAAGCGAAACGCATCTCGCTTCTCATTTACCCCGACTCTTTATTCACAGAGACTTGTAATCATAGTAACGCTCTTCTGGAAAGGTAATACGCTATAGGCGTCACACAAATGGGTTTGTTGTTTTTTTTTTTTTTTGGCTTTTAGTTGAAGTTTAATTTGGTTTTCAATAGGAAACGACTGAGGGTTTTTTTTTTTCAAACTGCTTTCAGAGCTAAGTTCTAGCATTGACGTAAATCAGTATGTCCTTGTTCCAGTTAGCGTTTTCTTTTTTTTTTCCCCTTAAGATTTGCAGCTTTTTCATCCATCCTCTTCTCACAGAACCCATTGTAGTAGTTTTTTTTCTTTGCAAGCTCCAGTTGCCTGATGGCTACTTTGGGTGAAGGTCTTTGCTGTTGTAGTTCTGGTCTCGTGTCCCATTCTACGTTGGTCAGTATTTTCTTTCTTCTCCTCTTGTTTTGTTAAAGCGAAGAAGTGTGCACAGAAAACTCAGTCCAAGCCTTTGATTCAAGGTGACTGAGTAGCCTTGGAAAGCACTTCTGCATAAATCGATAATAAAATGAAAAAGTTTATTTTATTAACTTTATTGACGTTTGCCAAAGAAATGAACGGACAGCCTTTGAACAGAGTCATGTGCACAAACTTATTTTGTGCAGCTTTGATGAGGATTATTTCTTTTAACAATTTAAGTTTAATTTGCCCCCATGCTACAACCTGCAAACATCATTAGTGTGACTTTAATAAGAACGTCGGTCTACTTTCAGGAGTGTCGGTCAGGGTTTTAGGACTTAGTTTTACGTCGGTTCCCTCCAGAGCACAGGGAGTTTCACTTGGTTCAGCCAATATAATCTGGTTTATTTTCAGTGAGAATCCTCTTTTGTAGTGTGGATTTATATCTTCTACAGAAAAAAAGGGTGTATAAGTATAAACATTTCCATGAACATGTATCAGACCTTAGTGTCACTCAGGGTTTGAGTCTTTGCATCTTTTTGTTTGTCTTGACGAGATGAACTGAGGTACTGCTTTCTCTCTCTGATCCCTTATGGGGAAAAAATGTGAGAATCGCCATGACAACCAGGCACATGGAGTAAGTCTCTTCCTATTTTAATGTTATTGCAACTAAATAAGGATCCAAATCCCTAATGAGCCTAAATAGGTGATTATGTGAGGCTTAAAAAATGTGACAAAATAGGAGTTCAGGTCTTCACGGATTATTGCGCAAGTAGATTTAAAATTCCTAAACCAGTGATCAACAAAAGAGTCATGTTGGACCTTCAAAACTTAATAACATTTTGTGTTAAATTGCAGTTAAATTTCTGCAGTAGACTGGTGATGAGAGGATTGTTTCCTTTGGAAATAAGGCTGTTCTATTTTTCATTAGTTTGTATTTATAAAACTAGATTCCGCATTACTAATTTACCTAAACCAGGTGTGAAAAAGAGTGACTCTGTTGGTGTTTGAAAACAAAAGCTCTGATGGGTTTCAAAATAAAGGTCTTACTTTTCTGTAATGTAATTCTTAGATACTCCTGGATTTCTAATGAGCTTTGAAGACCAACTGCAGGTTGGTCTTATCTGAGTCATAAAACTTTTATTGTAGTACTGGGTGAAAAGCACCAAGCTTCCTGTATGATCATAATTTTTCTATTTCTCTGTGCTAGCTTGTAAAAGTGATGAAAATCTAATAAGATTTTAAGATTGGTTACATATAAAACAAGGACATTGTCACAATGATGTCCTCTTTAGTTCCTCCATCTGGCCTCAAGTTTTATTGCTTTAAACCATCAAAAATGTTGTTGTATTTATTAATTTTTTTTGTCTTATTAACAAGCTTGAAATGTTTCCTTTTCAGTCGTTTGGGGTTTCAGCCCAAAGATGGGGAAAATATGTATAAAAAAAAAAAAAAAAAAAGTGGAAAGGAACAGACTGAGCACAAAGCAGTCAAGAACGTAGCCCAAGGTTCCCATTCTCTGTCATCAGTACGGAACAAAATGTTCCTTTTTAGAAAGTCACAAATAGCAAAAGGTCTAGATTTATATGGCACTTTGTGAGGAGACGGAAAGCAGAAGCTAGGGGCCAATAATGAACCCAGGGATATAAAAACACTGGCGAATAGCAGCATGTGAGAAAAGCTGTGATTAAAGAATTACGGTGAAACTGTTGCAACATTTAGTACAGTTTTGGGCATTTGGTACCTGGGCCTTCAGAGTGACTTCAATTTAATCCACATTATGACGTTACAAGCATACAAGCCACCAATACTACAATAAACAAAAAAAACACAACATAACAATGTCTGGTATTACAAAGGTTCGTTGAGGCCAGGCAGCAACATCAGTACTGAGTTGTTGGATTTGAGGCGTCCTGCTCGAAATGCCTCGTTCAGATCTGGTTTTAAATGCGTCCTGAGTGACCACATGGATCCTGGTCTGTATCCAAATAAACACAGACGGGACTCTATTTCCTTCTGACATTTTTAAAATATAATCTCCATTTTACTGCAACAGCATGTTTACGAGGAGTGCGTAGAGAGACGGAGGAAGGTGGGGAGCAAGTGAGAGGGCGCTACATAATTTACGCAGCGCTGTTTATCAATTAGCTTCTAATTAATTATGAGTGTTTTTTTTCTTCCCTTAGCACCACAGTGGAGACATTCCCAATACAGTTTTAATTCAACAACTAAATTTATTTACCATTTTCTATTGCTGTTGTAGTAAATATGTCCTGCAGGTAGCTTGGCAGCAGTTTGAATCTCGCATAAATTGAAGGAATGAAGAAATGATCTGCATCTATAAACCGCAGCATACATGGCTAACCTTTATCGCCCTTTTCATTAAACTGAAAACGGAGTGCACTGAAGTACATCCTGATATATTTATTCACTAAAACTGGAACAAGTTCTTAGTTGTAAATCGTTAAATTTGACCTGCCAGTCATTGATCAGAACCGATAAAGAGAAAACTCCTCAGATTCTGATCTTGATTGATCAGTTTTGTCTCTAGTAAAATAATGAAATCCTTTTATGCTTTACGGCTGAGAAGAATAAATGGCTGCTTGCAATATAGTCTCAATAGTTGAAGTTATATAGAACATTAAAAATACATTGAGGATAATAAAGCACTTTACACTTTGTACAGCCACCAGCAGTAACTTGAGCTTCATTGTCCTGGAGTATCTGGAGGTGATATTGAGGGAAATGTTAATCCCTTTCATCAGCAGGAAACCTGATGTATTACTTGAAGCCTGGCTGCCCATAAAGCTATGAGTTCTTATTATAAAGAAATATTTAATCACCAGAATTCCTTAAAACAAACCTTAAAAGTAAGAGCCATAAATAATCAAAACGTAAAGTTGCACGTCGTCTAGAACTGCAGAGAATGACGACCTTCAGCCAACAGACTGGATTGTTTTCTGGTCATCACTGTCATGATGAATCTTCTCATAATAATGGAAGGTGATTGAATGGGGACAACATGGTTCCTGCCTCAGCCACAAGAGAGCGCTCTCACAGCCACTCAGCAGGCAAATTACTGAGGCAACTGTGGACACTGAGGTTTTCGAGACTTTCAGCTGCTTCTGTTCACTGCTGCTATGTTTTACAAAACCGATACCTGGCTTATTTACATGAGGTATTCTGTTTGTAAAAGTAATTTCTACCTAAATGCAGAAAGGCCTTCTCTGCAGGTCTAAACACCATCAGAACCCCTAATAACATATTTCTACAACCAAAATTATCGTTTTTGATCAACAAGAGTTGAGTTTACCTGATCAGTTCATCTCCATATTCTACTTCAGAGACAGTGTACTATTAAAATGGCAACATCTTTTCCCATTAACTTTTATTTCCCCATTAACGATATAATTAATTTTGATCATTTGAGATGATGCTTTTATCCCAGCATTGTAAATTAACAGTTCATTTTAATATTTGCACTGGAAAATGGACAGAAATTTTACTTTTCTATTTTATTCAGTTAATGTCTGAATTTTTGAGTTGGAGAGTATTTGGAAACGCTGTTCTTTCATTGTTGTTGTGAAGAACAAGTGAGAAGTGAGCTACGTTGTTTTGTCACATTAAAACATCACTTGTCTCTGTTTCAGAGCCGTTGTGGCTCCAAACCGTCTCCTTAGTTTCTCTCCTCACCTTTCTGTGTGTGTCGTTGCTCTGCAGTGTTTCGGGAGCCGCGTGTGATTGAACTGTGGGAGGCTGCAAAGAGGGCAAACCTCAGCAAAGATGAGCTGGAGTCTCTCAAGGTGAGGCTCACAGCACTTACCGAGGTTGCTTTGTGAGGATTTTGTCAGTCTGCCTCTTAGTAGAAACTTTCCAACCCCCCGTTCATTTTAACTCGAGAGGTTAAACTTTTAACTCGAGTGCTGCTTTGGTAGAAGCAGGATTAGTTTGCCCTTCACTTTGTATCGAAGCCAAGATCAGATGGATCACAGGGCTACATTCAGCTTGAGTTTGCAGTGACATTTCTGCTTCATCCGCTGCTTCAAGGGTTTATCAGCTCCACTCTCCATGTAATTGAAGGCGAACTCGCTCTGCTCTGCTCAGTTCATATCCTTCTTCTCTCCGCTCATTCAGGAGGAGCTGCATCACTTTGAGACCAAGGTGGAGAAGCACAGCCACTACCAGGAGCAGCTGGAGTTGTCTCACCAGAAGCTGCGACATGTTGAGTCTCTGGGAGACAAAGAGCACATCAGGAGGAGCCAGGAGAAGTACAACACACTCTCCGAGAAGACCAGAGAGATGGGCTACAAGGTAAGACAGGATCTTCAATAAAATAGAGAGAAGTTCTTGAACCCCTGCAGTCAGAACCGTTGTATCTGATGTATGCTTTATAAACCTTTTGTTTCAAGCATGTTTGTTACGATGAACTCACTCAGGATTCCTGGATTTAATACCTTTAATTCAGCTTGCAAAGCTTAAAAAAAACAGACTCAGTTTTATAAGGTCGAGATGACAAAGCAGGAAAAAGGTCCCTAAAATCAATAATCTGTGCTTTTTCCTCTATCAATAACAAAACTGATGGCTTTATAAAACATTTTATTCCCTTTAAAATGAAATTTTTGTCGTTTTATCTTCTTAGGAGTTAAAATAAAAACACAGATGAAACTAAATTATGTAGCCTTCTATAAAACCAAGCTACTGAAAAGAAATGACACAAAACTTCAAGGTAAAATCTTTCATCTCAAACAAGAGATCTGGAATAAACCTAAAAAACCAAAAAACATAAAAAATAGATAAGTAATGTCTGAAAGCTCAAACGGTGTGTTAAATTTTAAAAGTTTCCAAATGTAACTTGCTGTAACCCATATTTGGGTCCAAAGCAGCATCAGAGTAGCATCCATGTGAACCGCAGGGGGCCGTTTCCCACCAGAGTCCCTCAGGTTGCCCGTCAGCAGTCACAGTAGAAAAACTTGTCCTTTTTAATACTGTGGGTGTAGTTTTGCTAAAATATTGACATTTTAATTCCCAGACTTTATAGAAACGGATGTGATTAACCAAACGTTACCTTCTGGTCTGATGATTTTTGTCACCAAACTGCATTATTTTGACTAATTTTGCAACTAAATAAGTCGCCTCCTGCTGGACATTATAAACTACAGAGGTTTAAGAATACTCACTATAATCTTTATCGTTGGCTCCAGAAAAATAGACCAATGTAGCCTTGTCTGTAATAAACGTCGCTACATGAATGAGATCATTGTATTCCAGCGTATGTACTCCATTACAAGCATACATCATTCTGCTTAATGAGGTACTAATTAGATGATCCTCTGTACCCAACAGCAATGCTGGTGGAAAACATGCAGAGACCCATGAAAGCTGTAATTGGAAGTTTGGGCTCTGAGTGAAAGCATTGGTGTTGTGGTGTTTAAACTGGTTTTATTTGATCCAAGTTCTGAAAATTCAACATCTTATTTTGATAATTAGTCATGTCCTGAAAATAGTTGTGCCCAATGTGTGCCTCTGATTTCAGATGAAGAAACACATGCAGGACTTGTCCAATAAGATCTCTCGTCAGGGTCTGCAGCACAACGAGCTGTGAGGCTCGGCTCCTGATCGCCACCACTGGAGGATCATGGAACTGCACCCTGCTTGAACTGTGGGAATCATTCCCGTCGGCTACTGAAAAATACGACACGGGAGGTTTTCTTTTTTGCTGTGTGACTGGCTGAATGAATGAATGATTTATACAAAGTTTGCAGATCAGACGGGCAAACTTTCACTTTTTTAGTAAACTGATCAAATGAAATGAGTTACTAATGAAATAATTACTAAAATTTTCTGTTGTAATTGTATGATAAATGAAACAAATGTGGAAAACCAGTTTTGGTACCTAAAGCTGAAAATGTGGCACTACTCCTTTACTTCTGCCAGATCTAGTTGGTGAAATAAGGGCAACAATGTTGCGTTTTTCTGCATTTGTCTGTAATTAATTGTGAAAATTAAATATTAAGACTGGTGTTTGTGCTGCCGCTACTGTTGGCAGTTGTAGGTCGGTTTATTGAAATGATGCAAAAGTATTAAAAATGATCAAAAATGTAGAGAACAACCAGTTAATCTTTAATATTCACAAAAAAAACATGCCAATATGCACAACTGAGGTTTTAAAAATATATAATCTCTAGTAAAGAATTTTTTTTTTCTTTTTTTGGTAAACAAAGAAGCAGCTAATATTTACAAGCCCTACAGAAGTAACATTATTATATGTTCATGACACATCTTGTTTTTTTCTTCCACAGAGACATTAGGTAGAAAAGTGTAGCTGTAATTTGAATTTGCCAAATATTGAATCGCTTCTTATGTTAGAAAGCAGGAACAGCTGAAACCCAAATTACGCTTCCCCCCCCCACCCCCCCTTCAGCAGCGGCTCCCCTCCGAGAGCCACTGCAGCAGAACCATTGATTGCTGTGATGAATAATGTCAGCGACCGGCTGATTGCTCAGCCGTGTCCTGCTCGGGCCACATGGGCTCGGATTAATGTCATTTGCACCGGGGATCCAACTTTAAGCCGCTTATTTCAATCGAACGCTTCGCCACTTTGATGCGGAATGATAGCTCGGCGAGTTGGGACTCTTTACAGTCGATTGTTGGTTTCAGCGCAACGAGGAGGGCTTGATCTCATCGTGAGATCACATCCTGCTGCAAACTCAGACGGCGGCTGTTTATAAATGTCATCTCAGCTCAACACATCATGGCAGCCTGCTTTTGTTTGTCTAAATCAACCACGACTTTGGTGCCGTTCCTTCCTAATTAAGTCAGTTTTTTAAAAAAATCCCCCCCTTTTGTAAAAAAAAAAAAAAAAAAAAAACTGAACAAAACTCAATTCCTTAAGTTAAGTGCCATGCAGTCAAATTTCTGTCAAACACTAATTTAAAAACAAGTTGCACTTTACAAGACGACAGCAGCAGAAAGACCTCCCACACACATTTTCTTGCTTGTAGTGGAATGAATTGCTTGTGGAAACAACTGCGCCGGTGAACCTGTGGGTGTGTGTAAGTGCAGCAGCGATCGGTCCGACCGACTGGGAGCGGGCTGCGGTGGAAAACCTCTCTGAAGTGCTTTTGGAGTTGGGCGTCGCAGAGTCAGTTGGGTGGCCCTCGCCACCTGCTCTCCAGCTGAGTCAGCCTGTCCTCTCTGCCCTGAACATGCTCCGCCCCCACTCTCTGAGCTGTTTCCATGGCAGCGATGTCGAGGTGGGCGTACCTAATGGAGTCATCTTCTGGGGAGGGGGGGGGGAATGTTTGGGTGTCATTTCACACAACATCCTTTAACTTATTGACAGACAAATTTAGAGAAACACACATTTGTTGACACTTGATTAGGCTGGACTTCTGTTCTGGTACTTAGGAAATAAATTTTCCATTTCTGTGTTGTTGTTTTTTTAATGACTTCTGAATTATTGCGTATAGTTTCACATGTTAATGTTTTTTTTTTCACTTTAAATAGTAAAAATAAATTTTCACTTTTGCTATTAAAAGAGTATTAAATTTCTTCATGTGTCCCTTGCTAATTTAACTTAATTAGCATGTATCTTTAGCATGTATTTATGCACTTTTAATCAATGAGATGTTGATGTAAATGGAGTTTAGGGTTCTTGTATAAAATAGCGAGGGCACAATGCAGTTGGCAATCTGCTTTACTGCAGCTGACATTTCCTAACAAATCAATAATCAATTAACATCCACATGCGGTAATGCTTTGCAGGAAAAGCCAGGAGCGACAATGTGCATCCAGGAAAAGGGGAGAAAAAGAAAAGAAGACAAAAAGCAGTGATTTGTTTTGTTCTTACTGTGCCTATAGAGCTGCAGGAGGTCATGTCTCACAGCTCTGAATGGACTGGACTCGTGAGCCGAGCTGTGCAGGTTCAGCTGCGAGTACAGCAGCTCTGTGGTCGTGGCCTGAAGGGCAGTAGATGGGATGTTAACGTAGTTCCCACCGTAGTCTCTGTGAAGGCCAGCGGATGGAGACGGATGAGATTCTTGGACGGACGGGAACACAGCTGAAGAAAAACATGTAAACAAAGTTTGCATCGTTAATAATTAACTTATTAAAGAGTGGGTTGTAGATGTAGTAAGTCGGGGGGGGAACGACGACCCAGACATGCTCTCCAACTTCCTCTGGAAACTCCCAGAGTAGCATCTGATCAATCCCTGATCAAATGTCCGAATCACATAAACCGACTCCTTTCAATGCAGGGAAGCAGCAGCTCTATTTCAGCTCCTCAAGCTGTCTCTGACCCTGAACTCAGTATTTTATTTCAGAAAATTAACACAAAAAATATTTCCATTTAACCAAAAAAAAAAAAAGACTTTTTACTCACCACATGCTGATATCGTTCTGAGCGTACTAAGCGTTAGGGGAGGAAGTGAAGGAGGAGCTGAAGGTGGTGAACCAGACGACATCCTATCCAGACCTTTGACCTCAACGCCCTCACCGTCTCCGAGTTTCTCTCCTGCACGAGAGTTTGTCAACAGTTTGTGACATCCATTTTGGATTGAGGTCATTGAACACAGCCATGAAATAATAGAAGGTTTTATTAAAATGAAGTGCAGCTTTTAAAAAAAAATCTTTTCTCTTAATATAATCAAAAACAAGTAAATATGTTAGAGTACATAAACGGGAAAATATTTGTCTTGCAGTTCATGCTACGCACCTTGTGTCTTGGTAGAAAAGACAGAAGAAAGATCTGTTAATAAGGAGCCATGTTCCTAGAAGAAATGGATTGAGATGAAAAGAAAAGCATGTTAGAAGAAATTGGGAGAAACGCGCATCATGCCATCAACAGCAAAGTAAAAGACAGTTTCCATTGTTTTACAAAGTGTGGCATACACTTTTATTATGCCCTTTTCCCCCTGATTACCCTAAATGAAATTCAACATATCACTTTCAAAATGTTATTACAGATCATCTGAAAAGTGTGCAGCTGTATTCAACCCCTCTACTCTGATGCCCCAAATTAAAATCCACAGAAACCAAATGCCATTTGAAGTACTCTCTTCAGTAGACAGAGAATACTTGTTTTGAGTAATTTAATCTGAGTTAATGGATCCAGTTGTTCTTTGAAGGCGTCCAAGGTTTGTTAGATACAAGGTTCCCAAATGTTTCCACGCCACGGCCCCTGAATGCCATTAGCTTGTGGCCGGGCCCCCATTTACAAACCCCATACGTCGCCCACCACGAGACGTAATGACGGCAGCATCATCCTGGTGGGATCTTAGTTTTGTCTCAGGGTATGATACCATTCAGGAAACATTAAAAAAAAAGACTGGACTAATGCGATACTTTTCCACTTGATGGACTCGATGGTGCTTGAGCCTCTGCAGAAAAGCTTTTTTAACTTTGTGTTGAGTTTTTTTTTGTTGTTGTTTTTATGTGGCTCGTATATTCTGTCTGAAACGAAGTAAATAATGATGATGAGTCAGAGGCCTGAAGTACAGGCTGAACAACGTGCAAGAGCGTCTTTCATCATCATTTAGGGTGATTACTTATCAGAGCTTTTTTTTTTTTTTACACTCTTTGAAGCTGTGGTGTAATGTAATATAAACCAAACAGAGCAGACAGACGAGCACTTTAGTCGAGGCAGTAAATTGTTTTTTCCTCATACTCAGTCGGCTAGACGGACAGTAGGAGGGAGACAACTGCTGCAGACAAAGAGGCTTCAAAATGAATTAATAGAGGAGCAACAGTGAGGAAGAGGAGGGCAGGAGGTGAAGAAGAGAGGATGCTACAGAGTTGAGAGGCGGCGCTGACATCTTCAGAGGTGGCAGACGGCAGACAAAAGGGTGGCAGCCCACTCCTGGAGAAGTGTCTGACAGCGAGCCAGTTTCACCATTTTCTCCTCCCCACAGCCTGTAATAAGGCAACCAGCCAGGTCTTCAGTTACATCATGTGTCACAGTTTGTCTTTAGAGACTGTACGCCGCTTACGGAGTCGGGATGCGAAGGTTTGTTTCATTCTGACAAAGTTCTGACACTTGAGGAACGAGAAACAAAGAAAAGTCATCCGTGTTTCATTCGGCAGGACTTTCTGGCAGTTTCATCACCTCTCATTTACTCCATCAGTCACCTTTTGCTTCTCCTCACACATGTTCGGTTTAACAAACAGAAAACGCACGTTCACACAAATGATTAGGGGGGGAAATTAATTAATTAAAAAAACTCGCCGCGCTTCCGCTCTGATGAGTTTTCTCGGCAACAAGAAGAAGCGTCTGTCCACAAACCCAGCGGAGAATTAATTAGCCGCAGCGCGGGGGATGTCGTCCGGGAGCTTTTCAGGTTTCAGACAAACATATGAAAGAGAAAACAACACGGACCAGCAGGCGGGCTGGTGATGGACACCTACACTAATAATAATAGGCCTCTTGCTTCTGTGCTTCAGCTCAGTTACCTCAGAGCATTAAAAATACTTGGCTTTGTTTTACTGTCACCTCTGTGCGGAGCTTGGATCTACTCAGCATGTGTCTCTACCCACAGTTCTCTGACCAAAGACATCCAAAGTCATTCGGACCTGATAGTTGTATGTCCAAACTTTTAGTGTGAGAATCAAACATCCCTGGAAGCAGGACAGACATGTAGACTAAGAGACAGGCTATCAAGTCAGGAAACGCAAATATTTGCCAGTCCCCGTCTCTTTCCTCATGCATTTCTTATCCCGACCTGAAATCAGACAGCAGAATGACACCAAAGAGTCGCCCCTGTTTCCTCACAGTAGATAACATGTAATCTGTGTTTCTGGGGGGGGGGTTTGGAGCGCTGGGACTACTTCGACACTCCGTATCTAACTAAATCCTGCCCACGCTGCTTTAACATGCACTCCACCACCTACAAGATGTTTTATCTCATGTTTACTCCCCTAGTTTTCTTGCAGCTGATCTGATGTTTGAACTTATTGAATCTGATATTGAACTGGCTGCAGGGAGTGTAGGTGATGGTCGTCTTTAGTGATGATAGCATTTTAGCTTCCATTCCTACTTGTATCAAAACAATTCAGTTAAAACTTCAAGAAAGGTCACTGTTGTTCAATTTAAGGATTTAGCTTGTTGAATGTAAACAAATGACTTTTTGTTATTTTGAATTTAGAACAAAAAGCAGCTCGCTGTTATTTCTTGTTACTCAAAGATTTTCTTCTCTTATCTCAAAGGCTTCTTCAACTCTGGTTATAAGACCCGAGTCTCGTATGTCTTTAACTCGTGAGATTTTGAGCACCCGTGTAGTGCAACAGGAGTAAGAGGGATTTTTTTGCAATAAAAGGGAAGCTCATCAGAGATCAACGGAGCTAAATGCGGCATAATCCTGAAAGAAAACTGGTTAGAGGCAGCAGAAGACTTAAGACTGGGTTGGATTGGTAGAGACCAGACCAACGTATTGAGTCAGAGGGGCTGAATACAAATGCACTACGCGTGTTTCAGACTGTGGTTTGTCAAACACTTTTAAAATATGCAGTATAGCATATTTTTCTTTCAAATGAATGCATTTAATTCCAACCATCATGCAAATATTCCAATTAAATGCACTAAAGTTTGTGATTGCAATGTGACAAAACGTGGAAAAAGTTCAATAATTGTCCAAGGCACCGTGTTATTGTGATGTGTAAGGAAAATGGTGAATGCAAATGAAGATATATAGAAGTAGTTTAAATGGCTTTTTATGATTTTCTTTTTCTATCCAGGCTTACTCGTGTTAATTTCGCAGCGTCTCTTGAGAAGCAATCTCCGCCTCATCTACCTGGTTCTCCTTTTTTTTTTTTTTTAATTAACGTCCTAAGAAATAAACGGCTGGCTCCGTTTCATCGTTTAGTGGCAAAGCGGATCTCAGAAGGAGAAAATGAGAAAGTTCGAGCCTCCTGGTACCTGCGTTTCTGCCGGAACCGAGCTGCTTGAGGCCGCCTGGGCCCCGGGCGTGGACCCTCCTTCACTGTCCACAGGTGGCGCCCTCTCACTGCCCCAGGAGTGTGAGCGCTGCTTCATCCACTGACACTGAGCCCTCAGCTTACTGGGACCTCTCATTAACATCTGTTCCTGACCGGCGCAGGCCTTGCCTCCCAGGTCTAGTGGGGCTTTCTGTGCGGACGGTTCCCTCAGCGTCAGGGCCTGAAGAAGACTCCTGGGGGTGTCATACCACTGTCTGAGCAGGCTGGGGATCTGGTACTCGGTGCTGTGTCTGCGAGATGCTTGGGAGGCGCACCTGGATGGGCACGTGCGCTCCGGAACGACCGTGGGCTGAAAAGGTGATGAAGGAGGCATTGGAGGAGGTGAAGAAGGGGGATTGAAAGGAGCAGGAGGGCTGATCACTGACTCATCGTCTTCTCCTCCTCCTGCTGCTCCTCCTCCTTGGCTGGCCATGTCCAGACTCCCGTTGCATGAAGAATAGCTCCCAGAATACGATGACTGACTGCCTGTCGCTATTCCAATCCCACTGTCTAAGGAGCTCTGGCGGTCGCAGTCATTAAGCCCCCGAGGTTGGCGCTGCGCAGAAGACTGATGGCTCCCTGAGCCGTCCCTGGCAGCGCCGTACAGTCTGTCGTCTGACCGGGTCAAAGCCTTCAGCGCGGAGGAGCTCGACGACATCTCGTTGGAAAGGTGGGATCTGACCGAGGGCTCCACCCAGAACGGAAACCTGTGTCCGTAACTTGCATCCGACTGGCTGGATGAGGAGCTGGAGAAGCTGTGGTCGTCCCCGGCAACAGACGTGCTGCAGCTGTAAGTGGAGGCTGGAGAGGAGAAGAAAGCCAACAGGTTTAGATGAAGAGGTGGGTAACCACACCGACTGAGAGAAAAGTAAACACTGATGCTGTTTTCAAATGACTGATCCTGCAGAATGAAGTTCAACTCTTGTCATTTACACACCCTCCGGTGTTCAGATTCAGCTGTTTATCGGATACACTCTCAGTTGGGCTGCATTTTCCGCTAAGTACATTTTGCATTGCCATGTACAGTTATTTTTATATGTACATATGTTTGTAGTTGTGGTTTCTTGGTTTTTATTTCCACTTTCTGCAGGTTTAGAGGGAGACTTCGAGGTTTTGACTTGTGTTCTCCCTCTGTGCTTCTTTCTTTCCCCTCCTTCTGTCTCCTTTCCTTTTAATTATTTTCTTCTTTTCTTTGTCCATTACATTTCAGATAAACTCAAAGAAATTTCTATTTTAAGTTTCATCAAGTAGCCCATCATAGCAAAAGCCATAAGGCTCCGCTTGTGGAAGTAAATCTGTTGGGCCTCACCTTGACACAAAAACAAAGTACAACAACAACAGACAGGATAGGTTAGAAAAAAGAAACTAGAACTGCCGTCATTTGCTGCACTGATTTATAATTTACCCCCTAAACTTTCACTGCGTCTCCAGAGACAATCAGTGCAAATTAATTGCAGGACCTCTTCAGATGACTAACACACACATAATTAAGACAAAAACGTCTCCACAGTCTGCGGATGGACAGATGATGAATGGATTAGCGATATGTAGAACGGTATGAATGTCAGAGTTGCATCCTAAACTCCAAAACAGCTCATGAGCTGTTGGTTTAAAACCCAAAGGGAAGGTTTACAGCAGGACTTACATGAGCTGCTGGCCAGACTGCACTGAGACAACATGCTGAGTCTCTTCTCCAGCTCGCAGGTCTCCTGGCTGATCCGTTTCTCTGCGGAGGCGGGGTCCGCATCCCGACCTGCTGTTTATGCAGCAAAAGAACAAAAAAATAATGAGAAGAAAGGTCCAACTGATACAGGACAACTCACTCTGGTCTTTGGGTGATTTTTTTTTTCTTTTTTTAGATGCTTCTCTGCACACCTGAAGCAAATGAACAGCTCATCACCAGACCTCTGCACAACAGGACTGCATGCAGAGGAGGTAATGAAGCCATTTGATTCATGTGTTTGGGGGCAGGGATTCATCAAAGAGAGGCAGGAAGACCACAGTTGGTAGCTGCTGGGTTAGAAGCTGCAAAAACGTCTGGGACTGGGTTCAAAGTTCACCTTCTGGAAAATTAGCTTCACCAAACACAAAGGAATGATTGAAATCAAAGCACAGTTCCCCAGTCAAAGTCCAGACCTAAATCCAGTCAATAATCTGTGGTGAGATGGGAAACTTCATGTTGACTCTGAGATGAAGCCAGGATGCCAGGATGGGAGAAACTTCAGTCTCCAGATATGCAAAGATGCTAGATAAGTGTTGACTCAGGGGAGCAGAACACGACTGGACTACATTTTTTTTTTTGAAAACCATGGAGTCTTTTTTTTCTTTCACATCACAGTTATACACTAATTCATGTTGGTCTCACATGAAATATACATTAAAAAACTAATTTATTGTAGCATAGCAAAATGTTCAAAGCGCCATGTGTCAACCACACTAAAGCAAAACTGAAAGGATATTCAGCACTTTGCTCAATTTAAAAAGCTTAAATGACTAGAATGAAATGTTACCACTACAGAGTCTATTACAACAGTATAACAAATGTTTTTTATCTTTATTCATATTGTGGCCTGACATGGCCTTCCAGTCCATATTACCTCTTTATCACTATGATTCCACAAGATCGTGTAGCTTTACCTTCTTTGACAAAATCAATTTTTTTTTCCCAATGTATTAAGTGTTTCAATAAAGTTAAGGCTAAAGTTGAGAAGTTACATCATTCTTCTAAAATATTGCTCCACTGAGTGTAAATGTGACAAATACCAGCATGTCCCAACTAATAACCATCTAATTTAGACTAAAACATGAAGTAAAACCCAACTAATTACACAACTAATCCCTGACACACACACACATGCTGAGCCGTGCCTGTGAGCTCACGCTGCTGCAGGTCACAGAGCGTACGTGTCATCAGCCTCCTGGATCTTGTGCCTCTGGACGGCAGCTACTGCTGCAGATCAGATGCCAGTTTTCTTCACTACGCTATGCAAAGGGGTCGGGTAACATCTGCTAACTTCGCTGCTTAATGCTAATTATAGCTTATTCTCAGCACCGCGTGATGTAGGACTCAGAGAACACTGATTCAAGGTGGGTTGACACTTAAATCTAGAACAAAAATATTTACTCTCTTTGGGAGTTTGCTCAGCTTTTTATCTTTTTTTTTTTACAATATTCAAAATTGCTGGGATAAATAATCAGTTATACTTATCAAAAATAAAAATAAGGAATAGATAAATACTTAGACTAGATAAAGTGCCATGCAAATGCTGGCAATTTGAAATATTTCACTCATTGTGTAATAAATCTGTAAATATACTTTCACTTTCAGAAGTTAGTACCAAAAATCTGTAACTTTTTAATGACGTTTCCAATAGTTTGAGATGCGCCTGAATATTTCAAAATCATCCTGCAAAGTCTGCATGTTATTTGGCTGAAGAAGAAAAAAAAGGCTTCGCTCTCACAATGTTAAATGCCTCTTTTGCATTTTAGCAACCATTCTAAACATAATGTATGTGCATGAAACCAAACTTAGTTGTGAGAGAATCAGCAGAAAAGCACATGCTGACCTGCAGCAGTTTGATACCGTGTTGATCTATTACAAGCAGAATAAAACACATTTTAAAATACACGGAGAACATTCAGCACTCATTTTGGATTGAAAGATAATAAAAAAAAAACTGTACTTTTTGTCTTAAATTTTTTTTAAGAAGAAGTGAAAACACTTCCTCTGTCGCTATTTAGTTTTTGTGGGTGACAACAAAACAACTCCTAATGCCTCCTGAGACCTTGTGAGCAAATTGAACCATCTGTGTGTTTATTTCTCCTCCGTTACAGACGCTCAGAGCAAGTTTAGCACCAAAAACACTACAAACGCTTAAACTCGGGAAGGTGGGTTGTAACACATAGTGCTAAATCTGTGCTGGCGTCACCACGGAGCTCCTTAGTGTGTCAATCAGCTCCTGAGGCCCCCCTCCTGTGCAATCAACAATATGTTTCAATTGCACATCAGTCACGCACAGAAACACAACCCCTTAATCTCCCTGCTGACACGCGGGGGGGTTGTGTTTCCGTTTGCATGGCGCCTCGACACAAATGCTACATGTGTGCAACCGAACATGCAGTAAACCTCCGTCACAGGACACATGAGGTCACATACCGAAGAGACTGAAGGTCTTTAGCAGAAAAGTGTGTTTCCCTGTTAAAAGCCTGTTTTTTTTTGTTTGTTTGTTTGTTTGTTGTTTTGGTAGAAAATTATTTCCTTCAGCATTTAGCAACATGTTTCATGACTATGTTGCTCTTGCAACATAGTCATGAAACATTAATCGATAATCTGATGTGTAATAGCGGCAAAATGTAACGTTGTTGACTGTGTGTTCTACGACTTTGTATTTTTGTGTTTTTATGATGTAAAGCACTTTGAAATGCCTTGGTGCTGAAAGGTGCTATACAAATAAAATTTGATTGATTAATTTAATGAGAGGCTGATGAACTAAAGTGAGAAAAACATCAGAGTAGAAAAATGTAAAAAAAATAACGCTGTGGTAACGTTGTCTCACAATGTGCAGTCTTAAACTAAAAACTAAACATTTTGAGTCAATTTTACATCATGGCACCTTAATATTTATTCATATATAGGAACAACCATGACGTTACAAAACTGGGAATTGTTTTATTTCCTAAAAGAAAAGGACACAGAGCGTTACCATGGATCCTGCCAAGAGGCAGAAAATGGTGACAAAGGTGGGAGACGATGCTGAAAGATTACCACAGAAGAAGACATAGATAGTTTAAGCGCATGCACAGAGCCGACCCAATGTGTAAGTAAACTTTGCAACTAGTTAGGGCCTGCTGCTGGCCTGAGGCTGGTTTAATATGCACAGAACAGGTTAACAAATGTGCATTAATGTAATTTGAATTTACATCACCAGAATCCAAATGTATTACTAATTGAATCACTTCCATTGCTTGTTGTGCCTGACCTATGGTTTACACTTTAGCCCTGTGTATTTGTTAGTGTTCAGTTGGAGGGATGTTTTTTTTTTGTTGTTTTTTTTTTTTTTCCTGTTTGCTTTTGAACAGCTTTTGTTTGTCTGTTTGTTTGTTTTATTTTTGCTTGACTCTCCTAAATGTATAATTATGATGATGGGTGCACCTGGAAGTGAGCTCCCAAAGGAAAGTCCTCTAAGGGCCTCATACACAGTTTGGCGTTTACAATTACCCCAAAATATGTAATTGTACAATGAATTAAATGTGGAAGAACTGCTTTTGAGAACTATTGCTAACAGTTATTTCAAGAAATTTCTCATTTCTCATCTTGCTCATAAATTTTGGACCACTTTATTTTCATCCTTATTAATTTGCGTTCTTTTTATGTAGGAGATAATTTAACGCTCACCTGGCTGGTTGGTCGACACGCCATGCAGGGCTCGGCTGGGGGAGATTCCTCTGACGATGCAGTCAAATAAGAAACTGATCTGCTCTCCTTCTGAGCAAGACAGGAAGAAAACACCGGCCCCTGGGACACAGATGAATAAAATAGGAGTTTTTGTGAAGGTTAGGTTGTGTTTTGAGCCAGCGACAGCCCTTCCTCAGAAAGGTTGAGCTCGCAGTCAGTCTGCTGAAGCCCACACAGCGCAAACTGCAACAGAAACGTACAATAAACAGAGCAAAAGTAAAATAGAAATCATGACGCGTGGAAGGAGTGCATCAAAGAAAGAAGAGAGTGAATCTGTAGATTAGTTAAAGATAAATATATATCCATAAAACATTGGTTTTGTAAAGCTGCTTATAATGGAAAAAAGAATCTCAGATGGGAATCGTTTTATTTTTTTAAATAACATCTCAGTCATGCTTCGGCGGTGCTGTCACAGTCAGCAACTTTATCTCACGCTGTAAACTTTTGATTGAAATAGCATCAAAGCCGATCGAAATATGTTTTCAAAGTTCGGAGTTCAGTAATTGAGTTTCTCACTTGAATCGTCGTTCGGCTTTAATGTGGTGCGAGTGTCTCTGATTCATTAGTTCAGCTTATTGAGATGTTGAGACTGCTCAGCATAAGCAAAAGGCTCAGTGATTTAGAGAAACATCCAGTTTTAGCTGCGGCGAAAGAGACGCATCTATGATGCGAGACCCTTTGGCAATCACATGAATCCTGAAAGAAGTTAAACGTAGCAAATGCAAAACAGACAATCCAGTAATGACTCTTTGAGAAGCAGCCGTCATCTGATTACCATAGCTTCTGTTAATACACATTGCTCCGACTCTGAATACATTTTAGGTAATGTCATTGAGACATTTTAAACAAAAGCACCATAAGATGTCTGAAAGAAAAAATAATAAGTATATCCAATGGAAAAGTCTGTTTTCTGCTCAAGGTTACAGATTTATTCTCACAAATACACCAAATGTGGCCTCCACGCTTATCGACAAAAACCCTTCAAATGAATCAGGATTTTATTTATTTATTTATTTATTTATTTATTTTTTATCACAGTAGATTGATCTCATATCAATCAGAGAGTTTGGGAATTTTTCTAACGAGGATGCAAAGAGCTTTTGTGTAGTTTGTCAAAGTTTCAGCTGAAGATGAACCATAGTTTAGAGGCTGCTGTCTTCCATCCATTTCCTGAATTATGGAGATCATCAAAAATCTGACTTATTTGAATGGCATGTTTTCTGGTCTTTTCTATTGTGAAGAGTGGCTAAGAGAAATGTGCTTCTCTTAGCCACACACACACACACACACACACACACACACACACACACACACACACACACACACACACACACACACACAGCTCTGGAAAAAATGAAGAGTCCCCTACACTGAACCCCCATTGAAAACTTCATGGTTATTACACCAAATATTGGTTTCTGAACTCTCCCTGAGTTAAAACATTAGTATTGTTGTTTCTAAATGAATATGAACTTGTTTTCTTTGCATTATTTGAGGTCTTATTATTTTGACCATTTCTCATTTTCTGCAACTAAATACTAAATCTATGCTTGGAATTTCAGAGACATGTTGTCAGTAGTTCATAGAATAAAAGAACAATGTTCATTTTACTCAAACATATTCCTATAAAAAAAGTAAAATCAGAGAAACTGATCGTTTTAAGTGATCTCTTCATTTTTTTCCAGGACTATAGACATTTTTGGATGTGCCGTCGTTCAGGACAAAGCCAAGTTTTTAAGACGCAAATATTTCACAAGGCTGTATAGTTTTCTCCCTCTGTGGAGCTTTTATTCTGAGGCTTTGCTTCTGCAACAAAAGATGAATCTACTTTATGGCTTTTCATCTTTACCGAGGGTTCCGATAAGTGTGGAGGGCGCTGTGCGTAATATTTTTGGCACCCTGCAGATTTCTTTTTTTAAAGCCAAGCAGCCTACAATGGAGGAAAAGTTACAAGTAAGAAGCACGTCAAGTGGGAGGATTCAGCATTTTTGCCCATTTCAAAAACCAACAAAGCCACAGTCAATGTGAACAAAAAAAATTGATTTACCGGAAATTATTCTGGAATTACTAACTTGAAATTATTAGAATATTTTTAAAACAGTCGATTAATACAACATTCAAGACATAACCGAAAGTCTTAACAGAACTAATATATTTATCTAACTCCTGGAACTGGTTGAAGAAGGAAATATATTTTGGAGTCGTATAAACACAAGCAAATCATAATTAGCCTTTGTATTGTTTTTTTTGTTTTGTTTTTTTGAAAGAATACGAGTAATTTCAACAACTGTTTTTGACAATAAACATAATTTTAATAGCTAATTTTCTCTTTAAAAAAAAACAAAACAGGAAGGCATCATCAGTGCTGTACAGACAGGCTGTTTTCTGAATCAAATAAACAGTTTCTTCTATTTTGAATAAGCCTAATTGATGTGAAGCTGCATTTTGCGTTGCCGTATTAATGGATGGAGTGAGCATTCACCCTTCACCATCTGTCCCAGTTGTGCTGTTTTAGTGAGATTCATGAAACTGAGAAGAACAGACTTCTCCTCACCCCCCACAAATAGCTTTATTGGTTTCCAAGCACTTCCTGCTGGGAGGCCATGTAACAAGTTGCAGCCTCGGCTTCAAGGGAAAGAACAACACGAAACTGAGAGACACAGACACCACACAGTTCAAGCTCAGGCCACTTGCGTCTCAAGCACCAGACCAACATTCAGAAAGCTACGCATTAGTGGTGCGGGAGAGTTTTATAAAACGTTTTACATGAGAGCAAACATCATCTCCAACAGTGATCGGCTGCTGCAGACATAAAATATTTAGGATACTCCTGTGATTTCCTTTTATGTGTGTTGTGCTTCACGTTTTGAGTAAACTTTATTGGAACCAGTCGTTGCTTTGTTTGTCTCTCCTTGTCGCTTTTAAAATGAAAAGAAGCAATAAAAACTACAGGGTCATGATACAACCATGGAAACTATAGATGGTAAATTACTGCATCCAGATGGCAGGAGGTCGCTTGCTTCCACTGCAGAGGGAGATGGAAACAACATGGTGTCTGTAATTCAGAAATAATGTGTTGCTTTTCTAAAAGTCAGGATTTCCCAGGAATAACAAAAATACTCGTGCAGGATTTGGATGTGGTTTTAAACCAAGAATATTTACTATTTGCTGTGATCCTGAATAATTTAAACCTTTGTTAGAAATGGAGAGCTTGTGGAGTCACTGAGAACGCAGGTATTTTAAAGACAGCATAAACCAACTTTTCAAGAATTATCAGAAGCGTTAAAACTTTTTTGCGAATCTTCTGCTTTTTGCAGTCAGCACAGCTTCACAGCAGAGGAGTAAAAATAAAACATTTCACTCTGAAAAGTGTTGGAATGCAAGCATTAAAAAAAAAAAATGCCTAAAAACTAAAATCCTTGCCAAGCACCTAACAAAAGGTTACTTCAATTTTTTATTTTTCCTCAATTTATTCAAGTTTATGCATTTATGCATTTCTTCTCACCCACAGATGCTTTAACATCCATCTCCTGCAATTCAGTACGAATTAATCAGCATTTAGGATGTACTAAAGTCGGGTTTGTGTTCAAGCGTGCTTCCCCGCTCAAGCTAGCGCCAGCTGGACAGTCAGACATTACGATCTCTGTGGGTCACTCACTTTAATATAACCTGGCAAGAGCCGGGCTTAGTTGGACTTAACTTGCAGATACCATGTAAACGACGCTAAATATACAACACGCAGGAGAAACAATCTCACACGTGCAACAACGTACGGCCAGAGGAGGCATGTGTGTTTACACCTGCCGAGGGACACACAAAGGCTGCCAACTTTGCTTGGAAGCTTTGAATGGCTTTTATCTGGGGCGAGGAGCTGGATGGCTGTTCGGATTCTGCGGATGATTGTTTGCTACTGGGTCAGCATGCGTGCGCTAAAAGCGTTTGTGCCCTACGGGTTTGAAACGAGCACATGTGGACCCCGTAACCCAGAAAACCCTTCATCGGGTCGTTAAAGAAGAACCTGGAAACTTCTAAGAGGAGCTGATCACTATCTGGGGTTCAGGTGACGCTGAGAATACAACTTTTAATAGAAATATCCTACCATGAATCTGGCTTGGAATTCAATTAATAAAATACGTAACATAATGTGATTATACATTTTTTAAAATGTGGCAATATTTGTTAGATTTTACGCCAAATTTAGTCCTGGTCTCTTGCTAATTTGTCAGAAAGCCGTCTTTCTTCTGATGACGTAATGG